AGTAATTAATCGGGCCAATAAGCTTAATTTAAAAGCCTATAAGATATTTTGGTGGAATGATAAACTTGAGCACCATTGGATAAAACTCCGAGTTTATAAAAATAAGATCAAACAAGCCTACGGATGTTGCAACTCTTTGTCCTTAAAGGATACGGATGTCGTCCCTTATATAAATAAAGGGGATAAAAAAAGGTTAACTAACACACGCACGACAATCAAAAAAAGAAAAGAGAGAATGTGTTTCTCTCCCAAAAATTAAGTGTTGTTGTATCCCTCCCTAAAAACCTTAAGTTATCGCAAAAAAATCTCGATTGATTTCTTTAGAAAGCAAATTACCTATACAAAAGGATTGGAGCTAGCACTCTGTGATTTCTATATCTTCATTTGTGGGTGTTTAAGCTACATGAATAATCAATAAAGGGTTGACACTTGCATGGTTTCCTTTCCGCTTGATTGTTTTCTACGTTATAAGAGGTAATCTTTCACCCATATTTATATTCATGCTAATCTATGATTAGTTGATTCAACAACTTAATCTTGAGAATCTTAGATGGAGAAAAATTTTTGTTTTATTCCACACATCCATAACATGCATGATCCTTCATATTTTTCATGTCATGCTCGTGCCATTTGTTTTACTTATCAATGGTAATTTTTAGCACTTTGTATTAGTTAAAAATTACTTTTTCAAAATTTTAAACCCTTTTACATCTTTAGATAAATTTAAAATTATCTCATTTAATCCTAATATATAAGGTCCAATTAAGATTAAATTTTAAAAAATAGTGTGTGTGTGTGTGTAATCTAATTATAATTTTCATTTACAAAATAAATGGTTGGTCAATAGACAAAGTTACAAGAAATAAAAATTGTTTTTTTTTATCTAAGGAGAAAATTGACCAACATATCGGGAGTGACATAAGCTTGTTGTAGCTAATAACTTGATGAACTTCTTATAGTAAGCTAAGATGAGATAGAATCAACACAAATAAGTTTATTAATCAAGCTTTTTTATTTGAGCATATATATATATCTTTTCTTTATTATAAATAGATTTCATGCATTTCTTGTGCTTCCATTATATATATATATATATATATATATATATATATATATATATATATATATATATATATATATATAATGGAAGCACAAGAAATGCATGAAATCTATTTATAATAAAGAAAAGATATATCAAAGTACAAGAAGGGCATAGACATTTAGTGTGAGAAAAGCCGATATAAATTTCTTGAGAAAACTATATTTTTGGCATTTAGCCATTAATATTTTTTTCTATTTAGGTGCCCAATCTTTATTTATTTTATTTTTTTGTTTGAATACCTAAACTTTGAAATTTTTTTTTTTTTTTTATCTATTTGAGTGCCCATAGCTACTCGAGAGTATGAGGAGTCGACATGGTAGAGTTAACTACCACATGGTATGGTCGACTATCACGTGATATTTTTTTACTACCACATGGCGGATCTTATCGGACTCATCAATAAAATTAAACCTTAGATGAACTCGAGCACCAAACAAACAAAAAAAAAAAAAATCAAAGTTTGGGTAGTAAATCATAAGAAATCAATGGTTGGATACCAAAATAGAAAAAAAAATCAAAAGTTGAGCATTAAAAAAACCTTTCTCTCAATCCAAAATCATATAATTTAAGTTTCCTAAATTATTTAAATCTAGGATTAACAAATGAATAACGAGCTTTATGTGACTAATAAACATGAAATTATCATGCATCAAATTAAAGTTTGGTGAAATTAAACCACAATTTAAATATTAAAGAGGGGCTTATATACCTCAATTAACGAATCGGGGAGTGAAATGTAGGATTAGAAAACAATTAGTGATCAAACTAATCGAAAAAGACCAAAATATGGTGACACAATTAGCACTTGGAGGCATGAGACTACTATATAGGGGTGTTCGTTCGATAATTCTGTTTGGTTCGAACTTTTTTTATCGATTTTTTGGTTAACCGAATTGTCTAAAAAATAACCGAAACCGAACTGAATTATTATTCGGTTTTTCGATTCGATTTTGAAACATATCGATTTTTTTATTCGATAATTTGGTTTTCACCTTTAATTAATACTCAATATCATCTCGTTGATTCAAATAATAACTTAGTTAGAATTGCATCGATTTCATGATCTCAACATTCATTCAAAGATTAACTTTTTTTAATGACAAGCCATAATAACACATAGATCCCATCCAAATTTCAAATAGACTACAATGCTACACTATTCTCTACACTTCAATAATGAAAAAGCAAGAATGTCAAACAATAATTCAATTTCAAGTATGCAACAAAATAAAAGGTTAAAAACAATAATTCAAGTATTCAACATTCCCACATTACCAAGTAACACAAGTAATTTATAAAAGTAAAAGCAATAAACCAACAATACAAAACTAAGTCACTAATAACTTGCCAAGTAAAATAATTCAAAAAACTCCCATAAGTCACAACCACAAATAGGCAAGTTCAAAGCTTCAAGCAAATGGTTCACTAAATGAAAAATCCTACAAAGAAAAGAAAAAAAATTCAATTCTATAAAATATAAAGGCATTTACAAACATACATGGACGCATACAAAGATAATTCATTAGAAATTTACCCATGTCACTCAAAAGATCAAACCACCATCCATTCATCATATATCTATCATAGGTGCATCCGTTGATAGTGTTAATAAATCTAAAAAAAAAAATCAACACTTTAAGTCTTTAATATTAATTTAGAAGGAAAAAAGACAAATAAAAATATAAGAATTGAAAAACTTATCGGCTTCAAGTTTCTCAACATCTTGCAAATCTTCTTCGATAGTAATTGGCATCGAATTTCGAACCAATCTTGAGTACATACAAGAGCTTGCACAATGCTAGGAGTTAAATAACTCCTAAAGGCATCAAGAACTCTTCCTCCGGTGTTAAATGCTGATTTTGAAGGAACGGTAGATATTGGAACCGCCAACACATCATGAGCCATTTTTTAAAGGATAGAAAACCGAAGAGAATTGTTTTTTCATCACTCCAAAATATTAAAATTTTCATCTCCAATTTCAATAGATTCATGAAGATACTTATCCAAATCTGATCCTTTATCTCCATCTTCACTTTCATTGAATTTTTGAAATCGCGACATCCTCGCAAGTGTCTTGTTTTTTTTCTTCATGGCATGATTGGTATCCATTCCATCACTTACACTTGAAACTTCCGTAATCCCATTACTTTGACCACTAAGACCTTGATTTGCTGATAAATTGCAATATGAAGCATACAAGGCATATGTACCTTCTTTCACATCATTTGTCATCTTTTCTCCAAGGAAATCACCATGCAATTCGTTTAATGTAAATGCAACATAAGTAAGTTTATGTGTTGGATCAAGCACGGCTCTAATATAAATCAACTTATTCATTTTCTTCATATCTCTCCAATACTTATCAAATTTTTTCTCTCATTTTATTAGCCATTGAACAAGTATCATCATCGGCACACTCTTGCCATTCTCTCAAATCAGCTTCAAGCGTACAAATTTCATAAAAATAATTATTAGAAGTGACATATGAATGACCCGAAATAGACAAAGTAAGGTCATAGAAATTTTTCAATATTGTCACCATTTTCCTATAAGTCCTCCAATCTCCGACACTAGGTGGCCCAAATGCCCAATCACCAAGATCCGCATTAAGTTCAACACTATATAAATGATCAATTTGCTCATATCTCTTAAATGCTCTCTCAAAATTTTGAGCTGAATCTAACATCAAATAAGTTGAATTCCATCTAGTTGAAACATCTAGATGTAATAAACTTTTAGAATCAATCTTTTCAATCTCTATGCATTCCTTAAATTTTCTCAACCTAGCGGGAGATTGTCTAATATACCTCACAGTTGCTCGAACACGAAGGATTTGCATTTTTTAACCCATCGAAACAACAAGATTCAAAATATGAGCCATACACCTCATATGAAGTAATTTCCCATCTAAGATGCTATTATCCCAATTATTCAAAACATCTCTTAAATATCTAATCGCCACATCATTTGAACTTGCATTGTCTATAGTAATAGTGAAAAATTTTTTAATTCCCCAATCAATCAAACACTTTTCAATAGCACTACCCAAATCAATACCCTTATAACCATCAACCGGATAAAAATTTAGAATCTTTTTATGCAACTTCCAATCATTGTCAATAAAATGAGCTCGTTAGACACATCTAATTAATTCTTTGAATAGATATCCATGTGTTTGTAGTAAGATAAACTCTTTGACAATTATTTTTCAAAAATTGGTTCAACTTTAATTTCTTATACATATAAAGTTGATAGCAATCTCTTGAAATGGTAACCCGTGATAGAATTTTAAACCTAGATTGTGCAATTGACATAAACCACTTAAACCTCACATTCTCAACAAATTTGAAAGGAAGTTCATCCACAATAATCATGTAAGCTAAATCATTTCTAATGCAAGTTTGATCAAACTTTCATATGCTAAGAGTGCTTTCTCCACTTTGAACACTTGAATTAGATTGAAGGTTCAATTCTAGTTACGTAGGGTTAAGCATATATGGGTGTTTTTTGCATATGGCCATATGAGATTTAAGTGCAGTAGTACCATTTCTAGTAGGATGAGCGAGTAAGTACCTTATCACAGTAATTACATCTCCCCTCGATGTCTTTATTTTCATCTTCAAACTTTGTGAAATGGTCTCATACAATCGACCTTGGTCTCATTGCTCTTCTCTTCATCTTTGTGCTCATTTGTGTGTTTGATGAAGAGCCAACAACAATTGTATCTGTTGTTGGACTCAGTTCTGGATGAGTTGAACTTGCAACTTCAAGCATCCGAGGATCCTAACATCTACATAAATTCAAGAATATATTTGATTAAAAATAATTATTAAATACAAGTTTATAATATTAAAAATTTAAATTTTAAAAGTTAAAACGAGTGGGTAGTGTCCACTCGTCAATCGGCCGACCACGAGCCTATTGGCTCGTGCTCGCGAGCCGAAGGCCTATCGGCACGAGCCAATAGGCCGATGGCCGCCAGCCACCCTACCGGCTAATCCCAAATGAAAAAAATCAAAAGTCTTAGTCATAGAAACCTAAAAGCAAATACTATATAGTCAATTACTAACTACTCATATTAGTTTTCGCATGAAAAAGAGACAGAATCACGAAACTCCAACAATAAAAGAAGTTGCGGGACCGAAGCATTAAAGGGCAAAAAAGGAACACAAACAAATAAAGGGACTGGAGAATTGCTACATCAACAACCCAATGGTTTCATTTTAATTACACAAATTTATAAACGATTCGGGAAAAAAAATGAAATTAATCAAAATCTTTTTTATAGATAACATGTGATTGCTTTAAATCATGAAGAAAATGTTTGTGCAAGTCTACAAGATGCCAAAAGTCTAGTATTTAACCATAAAAAAACTAACCTTTTGAGTTTTGATTGGATTGGGTAATGGAAAATACTGAACTCGTGGATGTAGGAGAAGTTGAGAAGGAGGAGGAAGAAGGCCGTAGGAACCGAATTGAGGTCCGATGAGCACTAGACTCGTCACTCCGGAAGAGGAGGATGGACGAGTCTCCGACGATTGGTACCGTCATCCGTCGAAGTTCGAAGTGAGTGTGTGGACTGTGGAGAGTCCGGAGAGTGGAGACCGGAGAAGAGGAGAAGTGACTAAGTGAGGAATGAGGAGAAATCGAGAAGGGGAGTTTTATGTTTTGTGGAAGGTTGGCTGGAACTAGAAGCGATGAAGGTGTGAACCACCGAGTCCGATTATGAAAGAGAAGGATTGAAGTTTAAAGGGAGCGAGGAAGCTAGGAAGGACTTAAGGAGTTAGGGTTTTAACGTTTTGTTTTTGTAACTTATTAAATATTAAATTTGCTTAAAATTTGATTTCAAGTGGAAACCAAATATGTTTTAAAAATAACAAAACCGAATCGAAATAATTTTGGTTTTTCGATTCGTTTTTTTTAAATTTAAAAAAAAAAACAAATCAAAATTGTTAATTCGGTTCGGTATGGTTCGGAATTTCGGTTTTAACGGAATAATGAACACCCTTACCACTAGAGGATAGAACCCACCTGGTCATGCATGTGCGCTCATCGTTATTGGAAGGTGACCGGCTTGGTGGCACTGGAATCATCTTTGGCTAACGATTTTGATGGTCTAGTAATCGTGGTCGTCGAAGTTCTAGGCAGCATGTAGTAACGCAATCTCTTTTTGTCCTCTTTTGTTCGTTTTTCTTCTATTTATGTGGCAAGAGTTTTTTAGCTAGGCGTCTACGTGTGTGAGTGCATGCTAGGGTTATGTAAGACATATTTATAAGCATTACCTAGGATATTTTTAGGATTTTCTTTTTATAATTTCTTTTTTTTCCCTTAACTAATATTTGGGTTGGGCTTAGGCGACCAACATATTAGCCCATGCAAACGGCATAGTACATACCTCGACTGTCCAAGCCTAGCCTTTTCTTCTTTTGCTTTCACTTAAGTTAGGGTTGGGCGGTCGGGCCTATAACTTGGAGCGCTTAGCCTCTCCAAGCCCAACTTTCTTTTTTCTTATTGAATTGAATACACCTCATATTCATATACTATTTTAAAATTCATTATAACTTTCTATCCATATCTAGTGCATAACAAACCTTTCAATATTATTGGTATACTTCAGACCTTTCCGTTAAATCACTTCACTAGATTGATCAAATTCTATCGATTCACTAGCGTCTAACAATTCACGTGATGATGCGTGTCACATTAAGAGTAAAATGTAAATTTTATTTAAAATTAGTTTCTTTCAAATTTTTATTAACTTAAACTAATTAATAGTATTATAAAATAATAAAAAAAATAATCTTTCAAATTTTTATCAAGTTAAAATAATTAATAAATATTTAAAAAATTGAAATCAAAATTTTAAAATAATTTATAATTATTTTTGAAGAAAAAATAAGTTATTTTAACTTAATAAATTATAAAAATAATTTTTATAATTTATTTTAACTTAATAAAAATATTAAAAATAATAATAAATTGAAAAACTTGAAATTAATTTTTTAAAATAATTTATTTTAACTTAATAAGGTGTTAAAAATACATTTTTAATAATTTTATAATCAAAATTTTATTTTAACTTAATAAAAATTTGAAAAAAAAACTTATTAATTATTATTTTTCATTTTTTATGATTTATAATACTTATTAAATAGTATAATTTAATAAAAATTAGAAAAAACTAATTTTCAATAGAAAATTTTATTTTTACCCATAATATGATACATGTTACCACATGAATAGTTACACGTTCGTCGACTATCAAAATTTAGTCAATCTTTTGAGAGGAGTTAACAAAAGGACTTATTTGTACCAATGTCTAATATTATAAGATTTGTCATGCATTATATCTAGATAGAATGATTATAATTAACGTTTTGAAATAGTATAGAGACATAGGGTGTATTTAAATTATTTTTTTCTGTTTTCGTTTTTTTTTTTCTATAGAGGTAAAAATAAGTTGATGACAAGCAAGTCTAGCGAGTGCGATTCTAGTTTTTTCCTTTGTAGGTCGGGATGTATGATTTGCCATCTATTTTTTGAACTCCATAAAATGTCCAAATGATTATTGGTCAAATCGGTGGCTTTCTAACCATGGATAATCACCAAAATATTATTGATGGTAACTTTTTTCATTGTAGAATCAACTTAGATGTCAAGAAAGCTCTTTGAAAGGTAGAACAAGGATGAGACATCTATTTATATGGCATCCAAAGGGAGGTTTTCTAACAATCTTGGCATACTTTGTCGATGAAGCTCGCATCCACCTTTTTATAGGTAAAATTAGTCTTTGTCTTTTGCATCATTTAAAGGATTCATCTCACAATCATTATTGATACAAACAAGACAGGATCTTTAAAAGCTTCGGATCATTTAGCATAGAAGAGGAAATGGATATGCTCCGGTTCAAACTTTTTTGGTAGGGCTTTAATACTATAGAAGAATGATGCTTGTAGATAATATACGGAATATAAGAGATGTGAGTGTTCTAAAGTGTATTCATGAGATTTATCATTACCTTTGAAGTTTAGCTAGATGAAATGAAAAACATGTAAAAAAGATGGTAGTTACATGATCAAGCATCGAAACTTTCCTTATTGTAAAATGTGAGGACTACTAAATATGGTAGACTTTTGATTGGACTAGACCACTAGGAAAGGCTTCTAGTTTTGATGGAAAAAGAACTTTTTCAATCTAAACAATCAAAATCTAGTCCAAGTCCATAATGGGTTTGGGTCCCTCCTCATTTGGGGCCAAACACCTATTTGAATTAAAAAAAAAATGAGTGGGAGATAACTTTTACGAGAAAATAAGGCATTTAAGAAACAAAAACAAAAACACATAAAACGGGAAAGAGAAGCGAGAGAGTAAGGCCAAAAGAAAAAGAGAAGGTGCTATATCTTTTTGCCTTGATCGGATGGTGAGTTCAACTTCGATTAAGTTGAAAATTGGATATGTTGTTCATGACAACAAGCTCTTCAACTTGAATGGTGGGATCATTGAAAAGCTTCCATCTTTAGGCATTTTCAAAATGCCCGAGTTAGTGAGACCTATCCTCTTTCCTAGTTGTTTTTGTGGTATTCATCTTAGGGATGATGAATATGATATGTTGATGAGTAAATCCATCTTTTTATGATTATGCTAATGTATTGATAAGTATATCTATATTTATGATGATGAATTGATGTATACTCATTGATAAGACTAAGGAAAAACTTTGTATCTCATTATTGATATAGTGAAGATTTTAGAGTGGACTATGGTCCTGTGTTTTTCTCTCCACATTAGGGTCTTCACTTAAAAATATCGAGTGTTAATTATGGTTGTGTTCATTTGCATTAGTATTAATTATTATTATTATGATTGATCCTATTTTGATTGCATAAAGAGAGAAAAGGATTGGGACTTGTGGTTTGTGATTAAATTGATACAAAAGCTATGTGTTTTTTCTAATAGAGTGGTATTTGAGCTTTGGATTGTGTAGATTGATTTGTCGTGTGCGGTTAAAATGAAGAAGGAAGATTCAAGTATGATAAAACTCAATTCTTCCAATTACTTCCCATGGAAGACATTGATGGAGGATCACTTATATTATAATGATTTAGATTTGTCACTTGAGTGCAAAGAAAGAAGTCTGTCGATAGGACAAGGTAAAATAAAAGTTAATAAATAGAAAAGCTATAGTCGCAGTTAAAAGATGAGTATCTTCAAAATCCATTAATCATATTTCTCGGGAACATGATTGTTATAGAGTTTGGAAGTTATTAGAAGAAACCTTTGCTAAGAATAATGTACAAAACAAGGCTTTTGTAATTAGAGACCTTATAAACTTGAAGTATAAAGATGGTGAAGATGCTTTGGTGTACTTAAATGACTTTCGAGGGTGCCTAAATCAACTAACATTGATGAATCTTAAGTTAGCTAATTAGATATAGGCACTCATCTTATTGAATTCATTGTTGGATAGTTAGGAGACTTTACTAATGTCACTTAGTAACTCTACTTCGACTGGAAAACTTACTTTAAAGATAGGAAAGGATAGTATTCTTAAGAAAAATATGAAAAAAAAAGGCCAAGCACTTTAGAGTCCCATGTACTTGTTATAGAAAACCAAGAGAGAAGTTAAAGTAGATTTTCTCATAGTAAGTAATGTAGATATTTTGGTGATAGAAAAGGCGGATAAAAGTTTTAAAAAAGATCTTAGTTAAGGAAAGGAATAAAGTGCTATTATTGTGACAAGCCCGGGCATTACTAGGGGTGATCATTCGGTTAAACGGTTCGAGTTTTGTACGATTCGGTTCGATTTTCGATTAACCAAATTAAGAAAAATAAAAACCAAAACCAAACCAAAATAAATTCGATAAATTCGGTTTGTAATCAAATTATTTTGGTTTGGTTTCAAAATATTTCGGTTTTAATCGAAATATTTTACTGTAAAAAATCATTATAGAGAGATGTTTTGTACTAGCACTTAGTCCACTAGCCAATGAAGTAACATCTTGTTATCAATTAATCTTTTTTATAGACAATCACAAATCCCTTGAAGATTTTAACTAGGCTTTAATGAAAACCAATCCAAGTGTAATTGATTTTGTCATTCAAACATATTGTATCCTAATTAATTACACTCTGTCACTTTCTTTTCTTACCTCAACGGTCCTCAAAATTTACTTCCCATCTACGTGTTTTAGTTTCAACAAGAATGAAGATTGAAAAGTTAGAGATTTAGAAATTAGGAAATTTTTTACTATTTATTTCGATTTTCGGTCGAAATCAATAATTTTTTTTCTAAAAACCGAACCGAATCGAAATAATTTTGGTTTTTTCGATTCGATTTTATATTGTATAATTTTACATTTAAAACCAAACCAAATTTCATAATTCAATTCGATTTTATTTGGTTTTCGATTAATCGAATCGTTTGCTCACCCCTAGGCATTACTAAAGAGATTGTAGAAAGTACAAGAGAGATTAGAAGGGTAAAACCATAGACATGAGTGAAGAGGATTATACATTTATAATTGTTTATGATGGTGATGTTTTCATTATTT